CTTGCCATTGTGGCCATCTGGGGAGTGAACCATGAACCAGTGGATGGAAGATCCCTGTTTCTCTTTGTCTCTCCTTCTGTCTCTGTAGCTTTTTCAAATAAATGGATCTTTAAAAAAAGCCCTTCAGTTACTCATTTATTTTAGCATAAAACCCAAACTCACAGATCATTCAGGCTTTAGAGATCTCACCAACATCATCCCCCACAGTCCCCACTTCACCTGTGGCCTGGCCCTCCTGAGTGGGCGTCTGTCAGTGTTGTGCACCGCCTCTGTGAGAAGTGCAGTGGCTGAGAATGGTGTCCAGCTCTGGAGTCGGATGGAATGTGGTCACATGCCAGTTCCACCTGGAGAGAGGTACTGACCCTCTCTATGCCTCAGTTTCCTGATCAATAAAATGGGATGCTAGTTTTACCTGGTAAGCTTGTTGTGAGGATTAAATATGTGAATGCATATCAAGTACGTCAGTGATGCCTGGGCTTTGGGGTGGGCACGATTATCGGGTGTTCCTTCATTCTGCCAGAAATACCCTCCCGTGCCTTTATCCGACACGTCCTGCCCCTCCTTTAAGGCTCAGTCCCTGTGTCACGGCCTTGCTGACACCAGCGTCTGTAGCTGTGTGCGTCAGGGTAAAAGCTTAAGTTATGGAAGCAGAATGTGTGGTTTTAAATCCTGGTTCTGCTGTTGACTATTTCCCTCTAGTTTAACCTCCCTATGCCTTACCTTCCCTATCTGTAAAATTAAGATCATAAAATAATAGTACCTGCCTCATAAGAATCGCCAGGAAAAAAATCCCAAGTTTGTAAAACGTACCTAAAGTCTATGAAAACGTCCCTCACATGGGGCCTTGTTTTTTTTTTTTTTTTTTTTTTTTTTTTTTTTTTTTTGACAGGCAGGGTGGACAGTGAGAGAGAGAGAGAGAAAGGTCTTCCTTTTGCCATTGGTTCACCCTTCAATGGCCGGCGCGCTGCGGCCGGCGCACCGCGCTGATCCGATGGCAGGAGCCAGGAGCCAGGTGCTTTTCCTGGTCTCCCATGGGGTGCAGGGCCCAAGCACCTGGGCCATCCTCCACTGCACTCCCTGGCCACAGCAGAGGGCTGGCCTGGAAGAGGGGCAACCGGGACAGAATCCGGCGCCCCAACCAGGACTAGAACCCGGTGTGCCGGCGCCGCAAGGCAGAGGATTAGCCTAGTGAGCCATGGTGCCCTGGGGCCTTGTTTTTATTAGCAGCCTTTCTGTTATCAAGAAGTAGCCACTGTAGTATTACCATGTCTTTGACATCTGTCCCTCCACATCTAAACTCCAGGTTATTTCAGTTCAAGGACAGCGTTTTTTTTTTTTTTTTTTGACAGAGTGGACAGTGAGAGAGAGAGACAGAGAGAAAGGTCTTCCTTTGCCGTTGGTTCACCCTCCAATGGCCGCCGCGGCCGGCGCGCTGCGGCCGGCGCACCGTGCTGATCCGAAGGCAGGAGCCAGGTGCTTCTCCTGGTCTCCCATGGGGTGCAGGGCCCAAGCACTTGGGCCATCCTCCACTGCACTCCCTGGCCACAGCAGAGAGCTGGCCTGGAAGAGGGGTAACCGGGACAGAATCCAGCACCCCGACCGGGACTAGAACCCGGTGTGCTGGGGCCGCAAGGCGGAGGATTAGCCTAGTGAGCCGCGGTGCCAGACGGTGGTTTTTCATCATTTTATCACAAGCACATCCTTCGGTCAGGGGAAGAATAGGAATCGCTGGTTTGTTGATAGTCCCACTTGGACGCATTGCTCTAGGAGATTTTTAGGGACTTGGGAGAAGATGCTGGGAAGGAACAGTCCTTGAAGAGAGACCCTTTTCTTTGGAAGGGAGTGCAGACTGGAGGGAGCTGGTACTGCACATTTCACTTAGCAAGGGGTCGGGGAGGGGATTGTCTCCAAAGGCTTGCGACCTGATGCCCAAGACCTGAAGCTAGATTTTTATTTTTTTAAAAGATTTATTTTATTGGAAAGTCAGAATTACAGAGAGAAAGAGAGAGAGAGAGAACAAGAGTGCTTCTGTCCACTAGTTCATTCCCCAAATGGCCAGAGCTGGGCCAGGCCGAAGCCAGGAGCTTTATCTAGGTCTCCCATGTGGGTTTAGGGGCCCAAGTACTTGGGCCATCTTCCACTGCTTTCCCAGGCACATTAGCAGGGAGCTGGATCATAAGTGGAGCAGCTGGGACTCAAACCGGTGCCCATATGGGATGCCGGCACTGCAGGGAGCAGCTTAACCCACTGCGCTATAGCACCAGCCCCCTTGAAACTGGTTCCATCACATTGGCTCTTAACCAGCCGTGTGCTGGTAAGTGTTTCATAAACAGTTCTGCAAGAACAACACAGAGCCCTGATTTGTAGGGTTTGCTGGTTATCGTCATGCAAATACTCCCGCCATGGCCACCCTCAAGCTGCCATTGTGGTATTCATCAGTTAGAAAATTCCTCAACATTGATCGACAGCCACTAAGGAGCTGGCCCAGCCAGCACATCCCCGTGTCGATTTCTTACTTCAGTTTTTCCTTCCATAAAGTGGGACTCCCGCAACGTGAGCATCGTGTGTCCGGAGATAAGTGGGACCGGAGCGAGGAAACATCACGTGTGCGCACTCTTGTAGCCTTCTGTCCGCCGGCTGCGCTCATCCGAGGCCGGGATCTGTGCCCACAGTCTGCACTCACGGTGCAGCCTGCCCGGGGTTCTGCTCCCAGAAGTCTGTTTGGTTTTATCCTCCCAACTGGGGCTATGCTCTCAGCAGCAGACTGACTCAATTAGCCCTTCATTCCAGCGTCCAATTGCAAGTCAATTCCGAGGTTGTTAAGCAAAATGAGTGTGGTGGTATTAGCCTCGCGCTGAAGGACTGTAATCCGCATCGCAGTGTTGTTCAGCTAATAGTCCGCTCGAGAGACCGGGAGTAACAGGAGACGCGTCTCTGGGGGCCGGGGCCGGGGCTGCCAGGCCAGAGAGCTGCTCGGTCGCCAGGTTGTGTGCAGAGCTGGAGCCCCAGCTGGCCGCCCTGCGGTTGGCGCTTGCAGAGTTAGGAAGCCAATACTGCCAGACCGTTAACTTTCATGACCAGGAAAATTCTTCTGAAATTAGCACTCACTCCAAGCTGGATGTCATCGGAAGCCAATGGAGTCAGCCTGAGCCACCTTTGGAGACTGCCTCCAAAAAAAATAAATCCTTTAACTGGACTACAGGAAATAGCCAGGTTTTACATCCTTCTGTGTGTGCTGCTGAAGTCAGCGAGGCACACACGTGTGCGCGTGAGCTCCATTTGGAGGATGTGGCCCAGGCGTTCCGTTTCAGCACTGGGCACCACTCGGGGCGTCTTACAGAGGGCCTTGCTCAGGCGCAGCAGGGGCCATGCAGAGAAAATACAGCGGATCTGCAGCCTGTGCTGTGGGAGTCACCGGGGTGGGGGAGCCAGACCCGCAGAACGCTCAGATCCGGAGGTGGGACGCGGCTTGGGGACCAGCAGTGGAGGAGCAAGCTGGGCCTGCACACACCCTGCAGCCTCTGCAGCGTGCTGTGGACTTACACCATTGCGTCGGGCCTTTTCATACCCCTGCCGGTTCAAAGTTGTCTCGAAGGGGTGCGTAATGTGCTTCCCACGGGTGCTTGCGAACCTCCGCGATCTCACACTTCCCAACCTCAGCTCATTTGTGTCGTGAAGTGTGCTAAGGAAATAGCAGTCCTTGGGTGGAAGGGAGTGAAGACTGGACTGGGTATGTTGGCAGCCAACTTGAGGGTGAGCTGAACTCACAGGAAAACGCGGGCAGCCTCCCATGGTCTCCCCTAATTGCTGGAGAATTTAAATTCCCTCCAAGTGCCTCGGGCTCTGCCACAGAGGCAGAGCTGCTGTCTGCGGCAGTGACCTCAGGGGTGGCCCACTTCTCTTTCGGGATTCCTCTAACAATGTCCCCTTCAGACTGAAAAGGAGCCATTTGGCCAGCGAGAACCCCTGGCTCCCGGGTCCAGCCTGTATGCGGCTTCTTTCCACTTCTGGTCCCCATGACCTCTCGGTCACTGAGGGCTTCTGGGTGAAGTCCCCGAAGAGCAGACAGACGCCACCGTTGCTCAGGGCCCCTCCAGGTGTGACCTTCAACCGCAGGTTGGCCGCACCTGCCTCCTACCTGTCCCTGTGCCCCCCCCCCCCCACTAGGCTGGAACAGCTCCCTGGCCCCAGGCTGGAAGGTGAGCGAGGACTCACAAGGCAGAGAAGAGCGTTCGCCTTTAAGGCAGTAGGAATTCCAGGCGCAGATGGGCTGCAGGATCCTGTTTGGATGCCAGGGACATGCTTCTGTATAAAGTAAATATTTTCCCAGTGTGGCTCTCCCGTGAGTGTGTGGAGAAGCGTATTTCCTAAAGATGCAAATAAGTCTAGTCAGAAATAAATATTGGATGGCAACTTCAAAGCCTTCAGATTTCTCCAGTTAGAGGCCCTGAAGACTTCTCTCCAAATAAGCAGACGCACAGGTGGATGAGGGCTGGGGGAGGGGGCACTCGGGAGGTTGTGGAAGCAAATGGATGCCAGCAGTTTCCTAATTCATTGTTTTCCTGTGTATCTGTGTGTGTGCAAAACAGCTAAGCAGTAAAAGAATAAAGAAAAGTTAGCAACTGTCCAGAGGCTTAGGATTCTTCCTTCTTATAATGCATTTTTCACATTTTTAATTGACACGTAATTATAGAACACATTTATGGGCTACAGTGCAAGTGGACAATGCGTAATGATGATCCGGTTAATCGGCATAGCTGTTGTCTCAAACGTTTGGCGTTTATTTGTGTAGGGAACATTGAAAACCCTCTCCGTGAGCTGCTTTGAAAGATACAATCAATTGTTGTCAACCATGGTTACCCGGCTGGGCTACGAAGCACGAGGCATTATTCTCACTCCACAGCTGACCCCGGTACCTGTCAGCCGTCTTCCCGCCATGCCCCCGGCCCCCGGGCTTGCCCAGATGTAAAGCACATCTCCCCTCTTTCTTCCCATTGTAGGTCTCGCCTTGCAGATTTTTTTACCAACTGCCAGCCGGAGTCAAGGTCTGTTAGCAGCTGTCTGAAGGAGAACTATGCCGACTGCCTCCTCGCCTACTCGGGGCTCATTGGTGAGCTGGGGGGGCCGCAGGGGGAGGGGTCTGCTTTACAAATACCCATGCTTTTTCTGTGGGAGCCTGCAGACAGCCACGCACTGAACGCCTCCCAGTAACCCTTTGTGCTGGGGCTAGCCATTAGGCCCTTTAAGACTCGCCTGTAGAAAAAGGAAAAAGAGAGAGAGGGGGAGAGAGGATAATGGATGTACGTAAGGCCAAGGCAGGAAGCAGGGATGATTAAGAAGCAGGAAGACTGCAAGTTCTTAGTCCAGTGAGGCGTCCCAGTTGGGGAACTGACCACGCAGAACAGACGCAGGGGAGAGAGCCGCGTCGTGGAAGGAGAGAGAAGCCGAACAACACTAATTGAATTAGGGAACTTTGAAGAAAGGGAAGTTGGAAGACATTCAGTCTGGGCAAATCAAAACGCCCGTTTCCCAGAAATAGCCCTTTGGAAAGAAAACCCCTAACTGCTGGGGCCTTTCTTTCTTGTCATTGCTATTCTTGGTAATTCAGCTCCCGACGCACAAGCTGCAAATCAGACCAGACGTTCCCCCCGCCGAAGACAGATGTAGCAGAAACAGCGTTTGCCGTCTTTTGAGATCTGAGGCTTTAGAAGAACGCATGTTCTTGGCATTCGAGAATGCTGCAAACAGCAAGGCGTCGGCAAGGTGGAAGAGAGCCAGAGCCAGGCACACTTGTACCGTGGTAGATGGGGCCGGCGGGAGGAGCGGTGGGGTCCCAGGTACCGGGAGCAGCTGAAGGCTTGGTCGTGGGGCTTTGTCGTCGTCGGTGTCTGGGAAGGAACAGGTGAGGGAAGCCACAGCTGTCAGAAGCCGAGGGCTCAGCCGCAGAGCGCCTTCCTGCCAGGTGTCTGCGCCAGGGTCAACACCTCACCAGCAGGAGGTGTCACACACGTCGCCAGCAGGAGGAAGAATGACAGTGCAGACTAAATTCCTTGTCACCGATCTGTCTTGGAAAATTGGAGCCGATATGTAATGCAGGCACACTGCCGCTTCCTGGTGCACTGGTCCCTCCCAGCTGTCCTGAGTGACACCTTTTCCCAGGCACTTAGCAGTTCTGTCCACGCAACCAGTGAGGGCCCCAACTCAAGTCAGTCCTCCGAATTTGCTCTCAGTCTCTCCTCTCCTCAACTAGGTTATCTGTCCCTAGTAGGGATTCTTATCAGCCACAAAAGTGTGGGAATGCCCAAAGTAACTAAGGCCTGTTCATTGGCAAAAAGAAAAATGAACAGAGAAGTCCGCAGAAGAAAATGTTAGACGGCAGCCGCCCCTTGCCTCGCTGTGATGCCTGTGTGCACTCCATGCAGTCCGTGGCCTTCCAGGGACATCTGTTCATTAACCCCCCATGAGCTGCAGAGGCGCGGTGCTGCCTGCACTGCTGTGAGGTCAGGAGGAGGCTTGGCAAACCCTGCACACCAGGGATGGAGGGCACGGAGGGAAGGACTGGCAGGGGAATGCATTCCACAGACCAAACTGTATTTGTCTCTTGGGACTGGATCTCCCCTCCTCCCTAGTTCCTGGGTTGCTGGATCCCGGCTTCTCTGGCAAGCTCACGCTTGCCTATCCCTTTGCCCTCTGTTGGATCCACTGTGGCCCCCCTCACTCAGGCCCCGGAGTGCCTGTTTCTTTCTCAACCAAAGTGAGGAGCCCCCGCAAGGCTGTGGGTTCATGTTCTCATCCCAAGGTGTCATGGGTATTATGTAGTTTAAAATCAGTAAGGAAGGCGGGGCTTGGACAATATGCCCTTGATCCATGGGAGTTGACCACAAAAAGGTCATTTTTGGCTTGCAAACCCAATGCATCGTGTGGATTACTGACCACCTGTAACTTGTTCCACAAAATATCTCAGAAGGCTTCTTGGCAATGAGAAGGCCTTGTCTGGCGTGTGCCACCCACGGGAAGCCATTTGGGTTGCATTAAGCGTAAATGTGTTGTGTCTCTGCACTGGCACAGACCCTTCAGAAAACCACGAGTAGCACAAGATCGCGGCGGGAGGGACCACCCGGCATTTTGATGAGGACTCTTGAGGGTCCACAGACAAGAACTCCAGGAGCACTGGCTTAGAGAATTCTGCTCTTGGCTTCTAGTTCTTTTGCAGCTCTGAAGAGTTTATTTAAAATCAGCTGAGAGTCTGGTGGCCAGGTGCCACCTGTATCCACCTGTGCACCTCCAGGACATGGCGTGGGGGTGGGGGGCGACCCAGGGGAGGTGTCTGAGCTTCCCTGTGTGAGCTCTTCCGAGGGAGGTGGACTCCAGTCCTACGAGGGTTTGTAAGTATGTAAACCCATTTCTACCCATTGATGAAGATTAATGGTGCTTTCATGAAAACACAAAAGATTTGGCAACTCACGCAGTCCGAATTAATCCTCTCCTAACTCCGTGACATCCGTACCATTTGTGCAGGGGAAAAAAAAATACCCTAGGTGCAGCTCGAGGAGTTCTGTTGTAATTTTTTAAAGTAAACGTGTGAATTATTTTATGTGCTCAAGATAAATTGCCAAGAAAATGCACTGCTTAGCATAATTTCCCACTCGGCCGTCAGAGCGTGTCATTCTCCACGGCACATCCGCTGCGGTCGGAGGAGCATTCGGTCCCTTTCAGGCTCGGAGGAGCCCGCGCTGGCACGCGGGGATAAAATGGCGTGTGTTTTGCTTACAGGCACAGTCATGACCCCTAACTACATCGACTCCAGCAGCCTCAGCGTGGCCCCGTGGTGTGACTGCAGCAACAGCGGGAACGGCCTGGAAGAGTGCTGGAAGTTTTTGAATTTCTTCAAGGACAATACGTGCCTCAGTGAGTTTCAGAAAAAGAAGACACACACACACACACACACACACGTGCATTTTCTTTGCCAGTTCAAGTGGCGTGCACCTCTGCGTTTCTCTGTCTGATGCTGCCTCTGTTCTCGTGTTTTCTCTCTCCCTCTCTCCCTCTCTCCCTCTCTCCCTCTCTCATTTCCTGCCCCTAGTTCCTCTTCGCCACGCTGTGAAATGCAGTGGGGAACCAAGCAAGTAATGGACTGGGTGCTTCCTTGGCTCGGATGCCAGGGCTGCACATACCAGGGGTGCATCACGTGGGAAAGATGGTTCCACCCGCAGCTCATGTTGGGACCTGGGCAGCCAGTGGGGAGTCCATCCTGGAAGTTTGTGAAACCTGGGTGGAACAGAGTGTGGGAGGAGCTCGGGCGAAGGAGATGGGGCTCCGCCTCCCAGGCTCTGAGGGAAATGAGACCGTGACAAGCGGTAGTCCCTTGGGTGTTCAGGGTGGGCACCCAGGAGCCGCACCTCTCACGCCTGGAGGAGCTGGCACAGCAGCCAGGGGCTCAGGAGGCCGGTGGTCACAGACACCAAAGGCAGGCACTGCGGGGGCAGGGGCCCTGCGTGGACACAGAATCTCGCTTGGTACTGTGGTGTCCCAAGGCAGTCTAGATGCCGGGTTCCCAGAGGGACGAGGGTAGAGAGAAATGCACCCCATGAACAACGGGCTTTCATCAGCTCCAGAAGCCACGCCCCTCTTACGTGCACCCCTGCGGGCACGTAACTCGGGAGTTTCTGTCTTCTGTGGCCACCCCCGTGACAGGCGCTTCCCGTGTGTTCATGGTCATCCTATGGGGCAGGCGTGGGGATGCTTATTTTTTTCCCCCCACCAGGGCTATTTGGGTATTTGTAACATCATTTGCAGGCCATACAAAATGATCAAATGAAAAATTAGTCTGCTATAGATTTATTGAGTTTCGAGTCTCGCCTGTGGTTGCCTTGGCAGTGTCAGACCGAACGATTTTATTTACTTTATATGGCTCACGGGCTGGATGTTCCCACCCCTGCCGTACGAGGTATAGATATACCTGCTCTTGTCTCCAGTGGTCTTCCCAAAGAACCTAGCAGTATGATTGTGATATTACTGTTATTTTTTTTTTCAAAAATTTATTTATTTGGGCTGGCGCCACAGCTCACTAGGCTAATCCTCCATCTTGCGGCGCCGGCACACCGGGTTCTAGTCCCAGTCGGGGCGCCGGATTCTGTCCCGGTTGCCCCTCTTCCAGGCCAGCTCTCTGCTGTGGCCAGGGAGTGCAGTGGAGGATGGCCCAAGTGCTTGGGCCCTGCACCCCATGGGAGACCAGGATAAGCACCAGGCTCCTGCCTTCGGATCAGCGTGGTGCGCCGGCCACAGCGCGCCGGCCTCAGCGGCCATTGGAGGGTGAACCAACGGCAAAGGAAGACCTTTCTCTCTGTCTCTCTCTCTCTCACTGTCCACTCTGCCTGTAAAAAAAAAAAAAAAATTATTTATTTGAAAGGCAGAGAGACAGAACTTTCATCTGCCTTTTCACTTCCCAAATGCCTGCAGCAGCCAGCTCTGGGCCAGGCCGAAGCCAGGAGCCAGAAACTCCATCTGGGTCTTCCACATGGATGGCAGGAGCCCAAGTACTTGGGCCGTCTTCTGCTGCCTTCCCAGGTGCATTAGCAGGGGGCTGGAGCAGCCGGGACCTGAAGCAGGCACTGCAGAATAGGAAGCCGGGCAGCATAACCCACTGCCCCACCGTGCCCTCCTGAGACAGCTGGGTAATGCCGGTGTTCACAGGGACCGTCTGTGCTTGGTGGTAAAGGGCCTGTTGGAGCAGAACATCAGGCCCCAGGTCTGACTTCCTGGGGGGGAGGGCTGGATCCAGGTTCTAAGATCACTGAGAACCCCGCACTGCCAGTTTCTCCACGCTGCTTTGGCAGTGTGTCCACTGATGTTTAAAGAAAGAGCAACTTCCCTTGTGCACACACAAAGCTTTTCAGCGTTACCCTAGGATCTCATCATCATTTCTTTGTTTGAGTGAAAAACAAAACGAAACAAAGTCCTGTTTGCTCTCCGGGTGCCTCAGGTAACACCACTGAAATCAATCGCCTCAGTCTTCTTAAACATAAAAAAAGCTTTTGGGTTTTTAAGTGAAATAAGGATTCACAAAACTAGCATCTGGTATGCAGGCATTCGCTAAGACTTTGGGCACACCAAGGAATTGAACTTGGACCTCTTGCTTGGTCTTGAGTTTATGAAAGTAATGAGGCTACTTTAGAAAGTGGGAAGAAGTGGAATTGAAAGCTATGTTTAAGGGCCGGCGCTGTGGCGTAGTAGCACCAGCGCCCCATATGGGCACTGCTCAAGTCCTGGCTGCTCCACTTCCAACCCAGCTGCCTGCTGATGCTCATGGGAAAGCAGCAGAAAATGGCCCAAGTCCTGGAGCCCCTGCACGCATGTGGGAGGCCCAGAAGAAGCTCCCAGCTCCTGCCTTTGGCCTGGCCCAGCCCTGGCCATTGTGGCCATTTGTGGAGTAACCACTGATGGAAGATTTCTCTCTCTCTCTTTCAGCCTTCTTTCAAAAAAAGAAAAAGATATGTTTGCTTTGGGGCAGTATATTTATTTGACATCCACACTAGTGTTTTTCATAGTATGCATTTTCCCATGAGTTTATACGAAGGAGGGGAGATCGGCGAGGACCCCTCAATCTCTCCTTTCCGTGTGCTGTGCCTCACTGGCACAGCGCAGGAAAAGCAGCGGCCACGCAGGCATTGCAGGGGGAGCTGTACTCCCTGGCTGCAGCCCTTTTCCCTCACAGAGAAATGGAAGTCGCCCCTGCATAAGGACATTTTGGTGAAGGGGCGAGCAGTCTGGTATCTTACTCCTAACGATTTTTCAATAAAAGTAAACACATTTGTTGCAGCGGGGCCAAAGCCAGCCGGAGTCTTCGCAGTCGTTCCATTTACACTCTGTGTAGCAGAGGCACAGAGCACCAGACTGTCTTTCTCAGAGGCCCTAGATTAGAAAGACTTGGAATTTGTGAATTCCAACCCAAGTGGAGAAACACAGTGCCACTCCCCAGTTCCGCTGTCACAAACGCATCTCCTGGGAACAATTGCTTATCTCCTGTTTGGGGGTGTCCTTAAGCCAAGAGCTTTGCAGACACAGCTGGGATGGAATGGAGGTGGAGGAGAGATGCCGGCTACTCTGATGTGTGTGTCTATTTCAGGGCCCTCCCCAGGGTGCCTCCTTTGACGGCTCATCTGTCACCCACTTCTCCGTGCCCCCCACCTTGCTTTACTTGTCTCCAAGCTTTTCTCACCACCTCAGGTCTCGCACACTTCACTTCCCTTCCTCCCAGGATTCCGGCCTTTTGTGGCTGTCATTGTTATTCACTGCTGTGTGAGTGCTGTGTAGAGCAGTGCTGGGCACTTAGCACATTCCCACTGATGGTGACCGGGGCCGCTGAACTCCTACATGGCCAGGCCAACACACTGGGCAAGCACAGCTCATTTTAGCCAATGGCAGGAGATTCCTTTTTTATTATTGTTATCTAAAATTTTTATTTATTTATTTAAAATCCAGACTTAGGGAGGGAGAGACAGATCTTCCATCCTCTGGTTCACCCCAACATGGCTGCAACGGCTGGGGCTGGGCCAGGTTGAAACCAAGAGCCAAGAGCTTCATCTGGGTCTCCCACGTGGGTGGCAGGGGCCCTAGTGCTTGGCCGTCATCCACTGCCCTCCCAGGTGCATTAGCAGGGAGCTGGATGGGAAGCAGAGACACAGACTCCAGCCAGCGCTCTGCTAAGGGTGCCAGTGTCGCCGACAGGAGTCTCTTGAGTCTACATCTTAACAAGGAAAAGGAAGGTTTTCTTGTTGTGGTCCTGGGGGCCCCTAAAGACACTGGCCCCCGTGCACTCTGATGCATCAAGCCCTGTGACATTTGGAGGGGCCTGACTGGTGTTCTGTAGTCCCTGGAATCTGCTCACAGCCCCCGGAAATGGGAAGGTGTCGAAAACAAGCTCCCATTTGCAAACCTTTAAGTGTTACAATCTTAGAACAAAATGTCACTTCCAAGAGGCAGATTAGCCTGAAATTATTCTGTTTTGTGTGTTGCAAAATGCCAGCAAAGGATCCTCTACGAACAATTTACACATTCAGGCCCCAAATGGAGGAGTTTGATTTCTCATACAATGAATATGAAATAAAAAAAAAAATCCCTAAATCCAGGGCAAACCCCTGAGGACCTGATTAAAAACTGTTTTTTATTCATCTGGGGGAGGGGAACAACACACAACCAATTTACTCTTGCCATAAAAACAATCTAATCCTATGAAATTGTAATAAGCTTTTAAAGTTTTACATTTTAAACTTTTCATTTAAACAGGGCTGCTCCTATCTAATTATGCAGATTCTGTTTGGAAGACTGGGAGCAGAAAGGGAAAAAAAAATAATCTTACTTAAATTTTCACTAGACTTGCATATGGTTTGGGTAGGTTTCTCTTTTAAAGAAACTGTGTTTTTCCTGCCAGATTAGTATGAATACCATAGAGTTGCTTTGGTCTTTGGATCAAGGAAGCACTGATTTAAAAAAAAAAAAATGAGTTAGTTTGCTTCTGCTATAGAATTTTGACAGAGCACAAGGAATTTCTTGAGAAACCGGATGGTCATAGTCTCATGCAACAGTTATGAGCCTGTGTACTCCAAGGGCTGGAGCAATGAGTACTTCAGAGTGAGGCTCCTGGTCAGCACCAGGCACGCACGTGGGAACACGGTAAATATCTGTTGCATCTGGAGTACAGCTAAGTGTCCGGCTCTGTGTTTAATGATTGCATTGGTTTTTGGAGCACCTGACCCCTAACATTGGCTCTCTGTATGTGTAGGGTGGGTGGAGGGATAGGTTTCGGTCAGAGAAGTTCAATGCTATCATCAGGATTTGTAGTGTGACTCCCTGGCTGTGGCTGTCATTCACTGCTTGACTTTGAAATCGGATTTTGTCTTGTTTTACTGCAGAAAATGCAATTCAAGCCTTTGGCAATGGCTCTGATGTGACTGTGTGGCAGCCAGCTCTCCCAGGACAGACCACCACGGCCACCACCACCACAGCCTTCAGAGTCAAGAGCAAGTCCCTGGGGCCAGCGGGGTCTGAGAACGAAATCCCCACTCATGTCTTACCACCTTGTGCGAACTTGCAGGTGAGGACTGGGGACTGGGTCCAGATCCCCCGTGGGCACTCACTGCTGCGTGGGCGCTCACTGCTGGGGGCTTGCTGGCTCATTTTCTGAAATGTGTTTGGAGATTCTCGGAGCAGGCTGCTCAGGTTTGAATGCTGGAACTGCAGTTTAAACATACAGAGTGGAGATAGCAATGATGTTTCAAGCAGTGGCAAGAAAGGCAGGCTGGGGCGTGGAGTCAGCCATTGACTAGGGGCGTGGCTTTCATCAAGGCACCTGCGTCTGGCCCTGGTTTCTTCACTTGTGGAGTGAGGGGTCCCAGCAGGTGCATCCTGGATGTTATGGTTCAGGGGGTGGTGGAGCTGGTTGGCTGCTTACTTATTTCTTTATTATGCTGATCTGGGCTCCCCACAAAGCAACACCGAGGACTGTGGAGGTAAACCAGGGGCTGCCTTCTCTGTAGAGTGCCAGATGGGGCAGGCAGAGGAGCTGCGAGTCACCCCTACAAAGCTCCCCATGGGAGCAGAGTCCAGGCAGAGAGACTGAGAAACTGCTACAGAGCCACAGATACAAATAGTGGTTTCCCACCTCTAGTCAAGTCCAGCCTTTGCCTGCCTCTCTCGTGCCCTCCTGTGTTAACGGGGAGGCGGCGTTTGGCGAGACGTTACTTAGGTGTAGGTTCGCAGAGCCCCCTCACCTGCTGCACCGCTGGGGAAGCTGCTGTCACTGTGCTTTTGCTGCATCTGGCCCTGGATTTAACGAGGACGCCTGGGCTCAGAGAGGAGTTTCTGCTCGGGTCATCGTGGGGGGCGGTCACAGAACCAGTGCTGTGAATCCAGGAGCCTCACTCTTTCCCTGGGGGTTCCTGTCTTTTCTGGGGTCTGGGTGAGCTCTGCCTCCTGCCATCTGTGCAAGGGGACCCTTGTGTGACCCGGATGCCATGCACCGTGCTGTCCCCTTGTAGAACCTCCCTTCTCCCGGCCCCCCCCTGCCAGGGGTCAGCCCCCCTGAACTCTCACCAGAGCCGCTGTCATAACCTACAGCCCACTGTGTTTGCTGGGGGCAGCGTCTCCCCTCTTTTTGGATTCCTTCGCTCATTGAGGCTTTGGCCTCTCTCGTGGGTCCTCACCCCTGGACTCACTCTCAGATACACACACAGAAAACTAAGGAGGAAGCAGAGAGGGAAGGCAGCAGCCCAGGGCCAGCCAGACGTCCGCAGCATTATCTGAGTTCTTACCACCCCCTAAGCATGGTGTGGAGAACACCAGGAGGAGGCGGTGGCTTGGGGCTTCCTGTGGCATCTGACAGCTCCATCCTGCTGCAGGACCCCAGTCTCAGAGAAGGGAAGTGAGTGTGCAGAGAGAGACCCCAGCCAGGGGGAGGCGATGTGGAGCCGGGCAGGGAACTGGGCTGCCGCTTCATCTCAGTGCCTCATCCCAGGGCAGCCCTGGTTCCCTTCGGGCTCAACTCAGAGACTCCGGCCTCAGTAGAGGCAAGTGACCGTGTGAGAGCTAGCACCCAGTTAAGGTGGTGATGGCAGCAGGTGTGGATTCTGCAAAGCATGGGTGAGCCCTGGCTACAGCATTCCCACGGAAGGCGGCTATGGGGACAGCCTGTCCATTAAGTCCCTTCTGTGTTCAGGAACTTCGTGCAGACAGATCTCAAGTCACTGGCAGTGAACTTAGAATAGCAGGCCAGATGCGGCCTGTGCACAGCTTTGAAAAAATCAGGCTGAGTTAATAGGTGACGTTTCAGAATAGTCATCCATGGGATGGGAAGTCAGTGAAATTCAAGTTCAGGTCCCAGAAGGGGTCCCTTCTTCCCGCCCCCTCCCAGCTCCTGATCGTGTTTCCTGGGGTCCGACGCTCCTTGGCGTGGCCATGAGGCCACTGCTCTGCCTCCAACATGGGTCTGGCAAGCAGCCTGCCCTGCCTGGAGGACTGTGTGTACCACCCCAGGGTTGCCCTGGCAACGTCAGGGAACACACACGCGCACTCTATCCCCAAGATACCGTGCCTTTCCTCTCTGGATTAGCGGTAGCAACTCTGCCTTGTAAACAGAGGGGCAAGAGTAAGAGGAAAGCTGGCTGTTTATCTCAGGGCTGCTGCCACTGAGGCTCTCGGTGGAGGGGGTCGTGAGCTGTGGGGCTGGCAAAGAAAGAGGTGGCCAGCGCTCTACCCAGTGGTAGACCCAGCAGCCACGGATCCTGAGGCCAGCTTCCTGCTCCCTGGGAGGTCTTAAGAGTTCCTTAAAGCCTTACCTTGTCACTCAAGATAGCCACCTGCTTGAGCCCATGTGTGCAGATGTGAGACAGGGGATAAGGGCCCAGGCTTGGCAGCCACGTGTGTGCCCAGCTCTGCTCTTGTTCTTCCTGTCCTCATGGTCTTAGCAAGTGTGCCAGCCTCGCTGAAGAGCCTCAGCCTCTGTGGGTGTGGCCTCCTGCAGGTGAGAGGATGACCTGGGGCACAGTGAACATTCCAGAATAGTGCTTTAAAATGTCCCATGCCATCCCTGTCTCAAGTCACTTGGCCACATGGACCCTGTTTGGAGAGGAATGGTGATGTGCCTCGCTCGGGGGTGGGTGCTGGGGAGCTCTGGGGTAAGCCGGCACGACAGGTGCAGCTCCGTACCTACCTGCTCCTGTCACTCTCCGTAGCAGCCCTGTGCTTCGTGTGTGGCACACTTCCCTCCCTTTGGCAAATGAGGCAGCTGTGGCCAGAGGGACTGGGGACTTAGTCAGAGGCACAGGGTGATTCTGAGAGCTTGGATTTCCCACCCTGAGGCCAGCATGCTTTTGCCTTGTTCTTGTGACACTGGGACAATGACAATGGGGGCTCTTCCTTTGGGTCAGGAAAGAGGAGGAGTAAAAATGGAAAAGTGGCCGGCGCCGCGGCTCACTAGGCTAATCCTCCGCCTAGCGGCGCCGGCACACCGGGTTCTAGTCCCAGTCGGGGCGCCGGATTCTGTCCCGGTTGCCCCTCTTCCAGGCCAGCTCTCTGCTGTGGCCAGGGAGTGCAGTGGAGGATGGCCCAAGTGCATGGGCCCTGCACCCCATGGGAGACCAGGAGAAGCACCTGGCTCCTGCCATCGGATCAACGCGGTGCGCCGGCCGCAGCGCGCCGGCCGCGGCGGCCATTGAAGAGTGAACCAACGGCAAAGGAAGACCTTTCTCTCTGTCTCTCTCTCTCACTGTCCACTCTGCCTGTCAAAAAAAAAAAAAAAAGGAAAAGTGCGGGGTGGGGGGGAGAAGCTGGTTTTGAGAGCTGTGTGGCCTGCTCTCTGCTGAAGGGCAGTGATAGAAATGAGGGCAGCAGGAACCAAGCTCACATATGTGAGTCCTTAGACCGGGTTGGTTTGTACCTCAGTCCCAGGAGGTAGGGGCGGGGAGGACCGAGAGCTTGCCAGTAGAACTTCTCACGGCGTGATGACCTCTTAGGGTGACCTATGTGAACAGCTGGTCATTTGAGGCCAGAGGATGGGGGCTGGTGGGGGGAGGGGACCGTGATAAGCAACGGGCCTTCACCCCAGGAACATCATCCCTCCTGCTGATTTAGGACTGGTGCCTGGGCTTCGGGCTCCCGGGAGACCCATTGTCCCCATCTCTCTTTCCCTTGCCTGCCCGGCTGTCTCCAGATGAATTACCAGTTGCCAGGGGGTCCTCAGGACGGGCTTGTTCCAGTCACGTGTGTCATTACTCAGAATAGAACTGATTGAAACCAGCTTGGGATCCACTGGTAACAGATTCGGAGGAAGGCACTGTCTCTGGCAGCTGGAAAGTTCAGTTCCCTTGAGGTGCACCCTCTTGTAATATTTTAAAATACACAATAATATGAGAAATCTCTCGGGCACTGGAGGGTCTGTCTTAACATTTGAGATTGATTTCCCCCTTGGAAGGGAAGAACTAAGAGTGAACATTTTCCAAAAGTCTGCCTCCAAGTGTAATCTTCCACATGCCCAGTGCCATTCAGCCCGGGGGCCGGGGGCCAGGGGCCGGGGGCCGGGGGCCGGGGGCCGGGGTGTGGTGAACCCAGGGCTCGTCTGTGGTCCCGAGGAAAAACTCGGCTTCAAAGAAGGGAAGTTGACGGGCTGGTATGAAATGTCACAGAAATGTCCAAGTGCTCGCCCCCTGAGGTGATCAAATACCAGGTTTTGGGTAACCCGCCAAGCTCGCATGTCAGAATTAATTGGCAGTCATATTAGTAATGAGCATGACGCAGGCTGTGCTATTGTTGGCATATTCCTTTGACTTGTACAAAGTGGTCACGTGAAAACAAAGAGATGGATAATTCTACCAATTACTTCATCTCCTGTGCCCTTGAGTGGTCTGGTGGCTGGGCAAAGCTCAGGGTATTTAAACCAAATGGACTGTACTCGTCGCTTATTTAAATATCTTGGGGGATGTAAGTCAGTGTTGGAGAAAGTTCTTCTTTGTGTTGCTGTACGCTGCTTAGCAGTGGGGACTTGCAGCCCTGACTGTGATGTTTGTGGACCTCCGATTTCCACGGTCAGCTAGAATACAGCCATTCTTGGTGACAGTGGGAATTGGTTCCAGGCCCCCCTGCAGATGCTAGAATCCATGGATGCTCAAGTCCCTGTATCAGATGCTGTAGTATTTGCATGTAACCTACCCATATCTTCCTGTATAATGTAAACAGTCTCTAGAGTACTTAGAATACTCAATGTAATATGAACACTAAGTGAATAGTTGCTATACAGTAATGTTTAGGGAATAATGACAAGGAACCAAAAGTCTGTACACATTCAGTACAGATGCAATATTGTTTTCGACAACCTTCCATTCAGGGTTGGTGGAATCTGCGGCCAACAGCACAAGCTGCATCCAAAGTCGCTATTCTTTTTGTGAGCTGGATAAAACCCAAGTGTAAGGACACGTGGAGGACCAGCCCTGGTAGATCTCTGGTTCAGGTCCCATCTCCTCGTCCTGCTGGGATTTCTAAGGCAGTGTTCCAGAAAGCAACCAGCGAAGCAGCTTGCCCAGTTGTAGAAGAGTTGTCCACACG